CGCCTTTTTTTAAACTCGGGCGCCTTCCGCTCCCCCTTTCCAGCCCGATATATCCCCGCGGTGACTCAGAGGGAGGAAAAAAAAACAAAAAAACGCATTTTTGGTAAACAGGACACATCTGGCTGCCCGGGGCCGGGGAGGGGGGCTAAATCCAGATGTTTGGGGCCCGGCGCTGGGGCCGATTTTAACCCACTTCTGCTCCGAAAATGACTCAGCGGCCCGAAAAGCGTGGGAAAGCGGCCGTGCGGGCAACGAAGAAAACTTAAAAAAAGAAAATAAAAAGGTGTCTTTTACCAAAAACGCGAGGTTTGGGTTCGGTCACCCGCGTGGCGGCCTTCCTGGCAGCTCGGGGCTTGCAAGGAAAATGGGGGGAAAAGGGGTTTTTTTCTGTTTGCAACGGGACGGAGAGTGGGGTGCAACGCACCAGAGCGCCCGCGGTTGGTTGCAAGGGGAAATTGGGGTGTTTTTCTGCAACGGGACGGAGAGTGGGGTGCAACGCCAAGGGGAAGGACTCGGCCGACGGAAACGGGACGAGGCTTGGTTTTATTCCTCGCGTTTTTCCGCCCTTCGGGAGGCCTGGAGCCGTCACAGGACCTGGGAGAGACACCGAGGGCTGGTCAGTCCCCGGTCGGCCGAAAGGCCCGCAGTTATTGCTTACTCGTCGCTGGCGCGTAGAGGCGGCCGCAGTTACCTTGAAGAGGGTGACGCCGGTGCTGTAGCAAAGGCTGAGGAGGAAGAGGAGGACGAAGGTCACGGCGGTCCAGAGGTTGGTGACGTCTTCCTCGCCCTCGGCCGGGGCGTCCTCGCCGAGCACGACGAAAACGCAGTCTGGGGGGATTTGGGGGTAGGGGGGGAGGAGAGGAGGCGTCCGGGGGGCAACCGAGACCCCCGATTGCACCCGTTTCCGTCACGCTCCCGCTCCGAAGAACTCGCTGTGCAACGGGGAATTTTGGTGCATGCAGCAAAACCCTCGATTGCACCCGTTTCCGTCACGCTCCCGCTCCGAAGAACTCGCTGTGCAACGGGGAATTTTGGTGCATGCAGCAAAACCCTCGATTGCACCCGTTTCCGTCACGCTCCCGCTCCGAAGAACTCGCTGTGCAACGGGGAATTTTGGTGCATGCAGCAAAACCCTCGATTGCACCCGTTTCCGTCACGCTCCCGCTCCGAAGAACTCGCTGTGCAACGGGGAATTTTGGTGCATGCAGCAAAACCCTCGATTGCACCCGTTTCCGTCACGCTCCCGCTCCGAAGAACTCGCTGTGCAACGGGGAATTTTGGTGCATGCAGCAAAACCCTCGATTGCACCCGTTTTCTACCCAGTCCTGCTCCAAAGCTCGCTGCAAGCAGAGGGGCCATGGGGATGTTTGGTGCATGCAGCAAAACCCTCGATTGCACCCGTTTTCTACCC